TGACGCAATCCATATTAATCCATGGGATCTCACCAACGTCGCGAAACAAATCAACAATGCACTGACGATGTCTCCCGATATGCGTCAATCTATGCAGTCGAATCTTTATGCTCACGTTACGACGCAAACGGTGCAAAGATGGATTACGAAGTTTCTACGGAAACTGGTCGGCACCTTGGCCTCTAGTCGGAATGAGAATGCGACGCCGGTATTAGACGGCACTATTCTGCTGGAACGTTATCGAACTTCGGGCAAGCGTTTACTCATGTTTGACTATGACGGCACTCTCACGCCCATAGTGAGAGACCCTCAAGCAGCTATCCCTTCAGAGCGTGTCATTCAGACTCTTAGTACCTTGGCGTCGGATCATCGCAACGCGGTTTGGATTATCTCAGGAAGGGATCAAGAGTTCTTACAGCAACACCTAGGTCACATCACAAACCTCGGTTTTAGTGCGGAGCACGGAAGTTTCATTCGATACCCTGGCTCGACAACTTGGGAGAACTTGGCCGAGAAATTGGACATGTCTTGGCAACAGGAGGTGTTAGACGTCTTCCAAAAATACACCGATCGCGTTCTAGGTTCGTCCGACTACCAAGTAAAATTGCTCAGACTTTATCTAACAATGAGATAGGTTCATTTATCGAGCGGAAGCGCTGTGCTCTTACCTGGCATTACCGCCAGGCCGACCCGGAATTAGGCGCCCACGCCTCCAGTGCTGCTTTTTATGAACTTAGGTCCACTGTGGCAAAGAAATGGGATGTCGATGTGATGACGGGTAAGGCTAACCTAGAGGTCCGACCAACATTCATAAACAAGGGCGAGATCACGAAGCGACTTGTGCATCTCTATAACTCGGGTTCCGGACGTCAAATAGGCGAAAAGACCGCTCAACAGGATGGCGCGAACGAAAGTTCCAAACTAGAATTCGTGCTCTGTTGCGGTGACGACTTTACTGATGAAGACATGTTCCGCGCGCTCAACGGTCTAAGTGGTAACCAGCTAGCTAGCGACCACATCTTTACAGTTTCAGTCGGGGCTAAGAATAAGGTCACGCTTGCTAAGTGGCACGTTCTAGAACCTGCGGACGTTCTCGAGCGCGCAGCGCTTCTTGCTGGCGTGGGCATTAGCGGTGAGACCACGGATCAGTTGAGTCAAGTCAACCTTGCTGCCATGGCCGGTGTGGAGGGTCGCGTGCCGACGTAACTCTTGAGCATGTTGAAGCTGGAATATAAGAATAGAAGCCGTGGTGGAGGTGAAGTATTACGCAAGCGGCAGGGGCATACGAGGCCAATCCCGACGACATAAAATGAAAGCCCATAACGCTAGATAGATAAGGTTAAGGGCGTTCGGGAGAACAAAGAGCTCGATTCTTGAGGATATAACGGGTATATACGTAATATATAAGCCTATGCATTTTATTGACCGTGATATCTCGGTATCTATATTTCCCGTAAGGTGGCGCAAGCATAACTATAACCACATGTAGCTAGTTGCTTTGGACAAGTAAAATACCTATCCCTTCGTGCAATAGCAAGTCATTTCTACTTAGTAGAACAACTAGTAGCATAGACTATGATACATAGGCCACACGCTCGCAACTACAGTTGCCCATATACTGTGAATTCGGGTATGTTATTCTGCGGAACATGCCATTGTGTTTCACCCAACCGACCAACCTAGTCCCTTCATAATACGTGAACTTTTATTCGTTGTCTCGCGGTTCGGCCTCGCGCTACGATGTCGGACTACTAGCTATACATGCAGTAACATAGATGTCGTGGAACAAATAAATATTTGGGGCGTGTGAGCAGTGGGCCGCCAAAAGAAAAATTCCCACCTGTGTATTACTCCGACTCCGCGCAGCTGACACAGTCTTCTGGTATTCGACGTGGAATTGACTGGGGAGTGTTTACTTTCGGGTAGTCTAGAGAGTTGATACCGAAGCATCGGAGTGCGAAACACAACTCCACTCAACGGGAACAATCCGGGGCCTGGAAAGATAGCTTTTATGAAGGGATAATTCATTCGGCTCTGGGGTCTCCGGCGGTAAAGTGCGGGGCATGTTGTATTGTGTCGTGGGTTACAAAGATAGTATACAGTTCCTAATAGTCGTGAACGTTGCGCCGCACGTGGTAATGCGTTGTGACCCCAGCACGGCATGCTGTTTCGGGATGGAAGACGTCAGGTCTTTCGAAATCGTCGTCGACGCCTTACTACACATCATTAATAATATAAACAGTGGTGGTGTTAGAAAGATCACTTACATACGACTGAGCACCTAACAATATGGAGGTCAAACGACAAGAATTATGAAATTATAATAGGTACTTAATGCAGATAGTTAGTGTCAGGGGGTAGAGAGATAGCGCTTAGGTGTCTTAGAATTTATGTGCAGTTAGTCCAAAAGCTAGATAGTCTACGAAGATCCCCAAGACCAGCAACATCCGACCCTCCGAGGTAGTCTGTTAAGTCCACACGCATTTTTGCATGCATGTAAGTATGTTACGATACAGATGTCGTAAGGTAATATAAATATCGGGATAAGAACCTTTTCCCAACTCTAAAATATTCTTCTCAACTATGTCGTCGCAAGTACTGTACAACTCGTGAACATGGCATTCGCCGAAGCATCATCCCACCTTTTAGGCATAACGCCTTACGTTTGGATTCTCTCTATTATCGCATTCCCGATTCTAGTTCGTTGTGCACTGCCCGATTCGTATGAAATTTACTAACAACTTTCAAGATCATCGCTTATTACGGAGCCATATCGATATACAACATCTGGCTACATCCGCTTTCGAAATACCCAGGCCCTATCTTGGCCAGAGCGAGTCCGCTATGGATGGCCTGGTCATATTTCCACGGGCGAACGCCGGTTGACCTACAAGAAGTACACAAAAAGTACGGCCCTGTTGTACGAACCGGGCCTAATGACCTATCATACATCAACCCTGTCCAGTGGAAGGAGATCTACGGCTTCAAATCTCACGGCCAGGAGGAGTTTTCCAAAGACCCCCGTTATCATTCAGGCCTTGAGGGCGCGCCTATCATTCTCAACGCCGATAAGACATATCATGGATACATTCGCAAGCTACTAGGGCACGGGTTCTCAGAGAAGTCACTGAAGGACCAGGAATCTATCCTAAAGGGGTTCGTTGATACTCTGTTTCGCAAACTACATGAGGAATGCCAGAATGGTGAGAAGTCAATTGACATAGTGAATTGGTATAACGTAAGCCGTTCTTCATCTCACCGTTAGTTGTCAGTTAACCTAATAGTACGCAGTTCTTGCTTTTTGATTTTATTGCATATCTAAGTAGGTCTCAGCAGACGTTACCCGAGCTCTAGGTTACGGATACTGATGCGAGGTGTATAGCATTTGGGGAGTCCTTCGACTGCCTCACCACTGGAACTCTCCACACATGGGTTGGCATATTCTTCAGCCTAATGAAGTCCCTCTCATGCTCTCAAATAAGCTCGCGGTTGCCATTCTTTATTCGACCCCTGTTCATAATGCAGTTCATGCCCAAGAAGGTCAAGGAGGATATTAAGACGCTCAAAGCTCTCAACGAGGTACTTCTCACCCCGTAATCCTGAATGAGCAAGCCATGACTAATGGCCATAAAGGAGAAAATTAGCCATCGTCTCAAGAACCACCCTCCAGTCCCTGACTTCATGGATAAGCTCGTAGAGGCGTTTAACATGGGGAAGATGTCACCACAACAACTCCAAGGAAACGCGCAGATCTTGCTTGCGGCCGGAAGCGAGACCACAGCGACATTAATGTCCGGTAAGCCATCTCTCACTGGTGACGCGGGTAGCGGGGAGACTAATTCGGGCCTGCATCCTAGGTCTTACATGGCTACTTCTTAAGCACCCGCGTGTACACGAAAAGCTGAAGAAGGAGATACGCGCTAAATTTAGCCATCCGGACGAAATCACCATCAACAGCGTCAACGAATGCAAATACCTCCTAGGATGCATAGAGGAGGCCCTCCGCGTGTACCCGCCTTCGCCGCAGCCGCACCACCGCATCATCCCCGCCGGCGGCGCCATGGTCAACGGGGAATTCCTGCCCGCGGGGACGTCCGTCAGCATCCCCATCTACGCGATTTCCAACAGCGACCTCAACTGGACGCAGCCGGAGGCCTTCATGCCGGAACGCTGGACCGGTGAGGACGCGAGATTCGCCAACGACAAGAGGGAGTCGTCGCAGCCGTTCTCCTACGGCCCGAGGAATTGTATCGGTCGTAATATGGCTTATGCCGAGATGAGACTCGTCATGGCGCGGCTCATCTGGCATTTCGACGTTGAGAGCGCGACGGTAGGGGATTGGATGGACCAAAAGGTGTACATGGTTTGGGAGAAGGGCCCGTTGCATATCAAGTTGCGGCCTGTTGCGCGGGCCTAGGATCGAACTTAACTTCGATCTGAATGGCTTATACCACGGTCCTACATAGAATCTACACTCTCACTCCGAAACGATCGTTTCCTCTGGCGTAGGAGAGGGGAGATTGTTAAGTCGTTAGCGCTCGGAGAATTGTCATTGAGATGGAACAATAGAGGAACTTGTTCCTTGAGATTGAGTTGAATACGACGAAAAATATTCTCTATCTAGCTATATAAATTGTATTAGCAGCTTTTCACTTAGTTGTAATTGTTCACGACCAATGCAAATGGGTGTAGGATTATAGAACACCTCCAGGGTAAGCGCTTTCCCCTGGAAGGGATTATTACTAAGTGAGACGCGGCATATCGGTGTGTAGTGACTGTGAGGCGAGATACATTCACTACCTAAGACAATTCAAGGTAAATCTACATAGTATGGATGCAACAACCCAGCAGTGGTTCCAGTGGTATCAATCTAGTGAGAGCTGCAGGAGAAGGCCACTGCCCAGGGTGAGACTTTGGTATAGCTCCACGAATATAGTTTAGTAGAAAACACTGAACTCACAAGCGATTCGCAGCCACACAGGTCATAACTTGTGTTCTAGGCCCGGCTGGCGTAATGGTTAACGCGTAAGACTTCTACAGATGGGAGTGATCTTAAGATTGCGAGTTCGAGTCTCGCGTCGGGTTAAATTTTTTTCTGTATTTATTTATTATATACACTTAATAAAACAAGCTAATTATTAAAACCACATTACGTACCGTATGCTGCAATAACACCTCGAACTCCCGGGATTCCCCATCTAATGACTGCGGGATGCTAGACTACCCACCTAGTCTCGCCCGCCGTTAGACCTCGGCAGCCACTCCCCAGGCATTGAAGCACGTCAAGTCTCAAGATCGTCGCGATCTCAAAAATATACTATATTCATTGGCTTTACTACTGGTATTTAGAAGAGTTTGTGAGTATTGAGGACGGTATAAGTCCTATATTTATAGCTTGACGAAATTGAACCTTGAACCCCACCTTCGGCTCCCGCCCCTCTCGGCAATGGCAAAAGAAACGATGCGCGCAGTTGTTTTGAAGGGTGTCAAGGACGTCGCTATCGAAGAGAGACCTATCCCGACAATCCAAGACCCTAAAGATATTATTCTTAAGGTGCGATATACCGCATTATGTGGAAGGTAAATTATTCCGACCGACTGTTGAGTTTTGCCCATCATGGACTGTCGTGCACGAAACCTAGTTGGCCTATAGATGATGTCATAAGTCAGTATCTACTAACAGCCTCTCCCCAGCGAGCTGCACGTGTTCAGAGGCCACCAGGCATCCGCGACTGGCTTCATCATGGGCCATGAATTCACTGGAACTGTCCATCAAGTAGGCTCAGATGTGACGTCTGTGCAGCCCGGCGACCCGGTCGTCTGTCCTTTCACAGTCAGCTGTGGCGAGTGTTTCTACTGTAAGCGGGGATTCTCGTCACGCTGCGAGAAATGTCTGCTTTTTGGATGCCCCTTGCTCGACGGCGGCCAGGCGGAGTATGTAAGGGTGCCGCTCGCCGATTCAACAGTCGTCAAGGCTCCCGACGGCATAGTAGAACTCAAGCTTTGCCTCATGGCTGATATTCTGCCTACTGGCTTTTTCGCGGCGTCTAATGCGTTGGGAAAGCTGACGTCTGAAGATATACGTGAGAGCGTGGTGGTGTTGATCGGATGCGGCCCTGTGGGACTTTGCGCCCTGGTTGCCGCGCTGGAATACGCGCCCAAGGCTATATTGGCTGTTGATGGGATTCCCTCTCGCTTAGATAGGGCTAAGAGTATCGGGGCTGAACCATGGAACTATCTAGAAGCAGGAGATGGACTTGCTTCTCGTGTCAAGGAGCTCACTAACGGTCGCGGAGCTGACGTTGTCATCGAGGTGGTGGGTCACAGCTCAGCGTTGGAAACGGCCTTCCAACTTCTGCGGCCTTGGGGCACAATTTCTAGCGTCGGTGTGCATAACGGTGTCATTCCGGTGCGTATTTTCCGGAATCATTCCCTTCCTTTTTTTCGACAGCTTTCATGGTATAATGGTTTCCTTCTCGGTCAAGATCATGCCCTGGAAGCTTCCCACGAAGCCGAAACTCTTATATATCACGCTCCAAATAGTGATAACTGACTCTGAGTGTTGTAGTGGAGTGGAAATCAAGCCTACGGCAAAAACCTTAGGATTCAAATGGGACGATGCCCAGTCCGAAGTAAGCACCCACCCTACCGCCCCGCATAAGTTGAGTATTACCCAGGGGCACCACATAGCTAAGAAGAACCATATAGGCATCTTCCCAGAAGCGCTCAGACTGCTTGAGAAAAAACAGCATGTATTCGAGTAAGCCGCGCATTCCCAGGTATGAGATGATAGATGTTGACTAACACACATAGCTTCATGACGGAGAACGTCATGCCGCTTAGTCAAGCAGTTGAAGGCTACGAGCTCTTTGATTCTATGAAGGTGCAAAAGGTCATTTTCGACGCTGAGGAGTAGTGCGCTGAGGGGTAAGCTGAAAAGGATGTATTGCGCGTCAACTGAAATCGTATTGAGGATAAAAGTACGAAGGGTAGATGGCATGCTCGCTCCATCGAGGTAGGGAGGTTGACAATTAGGTTATATAGTTCTAGAATCGATGATATGGAGCTTGAGTAGAACTTGTGCCCCCACCCCTTTTATCATTTGCCATTATCTGTTCATATGAGAAACTGTTTTCCTAGGTTAACTTAGAAAACGACATAGATGAAGTATGGGAAGTGGAGATGTCCATTAGTGTACAATGATTAAACGAAGCACAGGATGAAGTCTCTTGCGCTTGCATTCTCGCGAACACCTCGTGTTCCAGACTCCTCCTTTAAGATCAAAAGTCAGCAGCTTTCTAATTCGGAGAGGGATGGCTTTGATTACCCACTCGCCTATTATAATATTACCCGTAAGCTAGACTTGCCCATTCACCATGGGGGGACTATGGCGACGACGAAGAACCCTAAGAGCCATTCACTTCCGTATCAGGCATCGAGCTCAAGAAGATTTTGTGGCATACGGCGAGTAGCTTCTCGTCACTCTCGCTGAACCTACGCTGGAGACTTACCCCTCATCGCGAAGCTTCTTCTAGCAACACAGTGGCTTTTGGTGCCATGGGACAGTGCTTTGGGCCTTATAAGCCTCATCACCCAAGCGAAGGAAGAAAAGACTGTACCGGGCATTCACAATGCATCGGAATGGGGCCGGCGGCACGGCCTCGTATAGTGCTTCCCGGTGGAGTAATTACTTAGTTGCAACGGTAGTTTACAGAATCTTCCATTTAGAAGAGCTCAAACAATATTATGGGCAATCAGCGCTCGACTATCAGGATCTCGCAGCCGAAGACTTAGATCAGGCGAACTAGTTAGATGAATTCAAGCGGCACTCTTGGTTCTGACCACTGAGAACAAGGGCAGACGTATCATAGTGCATTTGTGAGCAGAGTCGACTCTGAATAACGTCTAGCCCGCTCCTTTTTCATGAATACATTTTCGCATATACTGTTTCTAACTGTTAAAGTTGTGTATTGAAACCCTTGAATAGCTATTTACGTCTATGGACTGGCCTATGGACAGAAATCACATGAACCATTTGCGGTATACATTATATATTCTCGTAGATCATCTACGTCATCAGGTACTTAGTCTCCCCCACAAGCGTGTATGAATACTAACATATAGTACAACCTTCAATATGTGAAGGATAATGATATATTGGGGTGCCTGTTACAGGAATAACCTCTTTACTCATATCAGCGATAGACCTATCGGTGTCACAGTTGCTACTTCTGGAAATTCTGGTATTGACTTATTGTTATTGCACAAAAAAGGAAGTTCTATCTGTATAGCATGGGCTAAACAGCCCTAGTCTCTGTAGACTTCTGTGACAGCCGGGCATAGTAGCTCTCAACATGCTACTTCATTATAGGGAGATCAGTGTTTCCCGTAGCTCACCAAAGAAGAATATAAAAGGAATCTGACTTTCAGGCCACCTTTGATGGGTTAGGTAAATGATATGGGTAGATAATAAGCATTGTCAACATTGTTGTTGCACAAAGCATCCTTGAACCTACTTGCAACAATATGAATAGCGGCGTAAAAGATAATTGCCTTGTTCGTAATTGGGATCCCCAAAGACGCAATTGTTCTTGCAATATCAAATAAGTGGCGGATTGGCAATGCGATTGTTCTAAAACTTATATGAATGCGCACTTCCTCAATATCGAGTGACTGATAGACTTGACCTGTACAACCATCGAAACACACGCTTTATGGAATGGAATTCTCTATAAATCACGACCTCGGGAGACCTTCCCTGGTTTCACTTCCTCATTACCTCACCGACACAACCAAAAGCAACGATAGACATAGCCAAATCAAGGCTCACAACACACAACAGACACATTACGCGATCACACAATTTACCGAGTTTACACACTCCAGAAACACCGAAGCAATGTCGGACCCTATGTTCTTTCAGCCTCATAACGGCAGCACTCCTTCCGGGTTTATTGGAATCAAACCTAAGCCCATGGAGCCGAAGACTAGCACAGCCGGTGACAAGATTGGCAAGTCAGGAGGCTCGAATCCTTCGGCCTGGAAAACTAAACCGTCGAACACATCATCTTTATCGGCCCAGCCTTGTAACTGATAAACCTAATAAATCACTTGGGCATATCGCCCCCTGGATATATGGCATAAGGAAACATTATAACGGCAGGGGGTAGATGGCAAGGGGATTATAAAAGATTCGTCTCATTATATTGTTGCTCATTTTCGCATAGCCATACTAGCGTTCTTGGAGATTTACTTTACCTTCAATAGCGACTGCGAACATATTCTTTAAATTATTACGTTATTTAAAACTTGCAGGTTTGATAAGTGAAGATGGCGTTCTCAAGGTATAGTTTCATTATTGGTGCGTATACACGGTTACATATTAATTTCCTAATGCATCCCTCTCTTAAAAGGCGTCAGTCTAAAAGGTACAGTAACTCCTGGTTAACTTTTCCAATAAGGGAAATAGTTGCACCAAGTACGCTGTCAATGTTCTCTCTCTTGATTACAAGTCTGTACTTCCTATTCTCTTTCGAAGGCTGCAAGTCTCCCCGGGCAACCAGCATGGGGCGAGCAGGGCCACATTCTATTATACAGGCACCTGGGTAAGTTTATTACACCCACGGCCACTAGGCCTAGCCGACGTATGAAGTTGAGTGACTGTAAATTCTTATCAATATAAATAAAGGGGCTAGCCGAATAGTGTTGTATTCGGAGGTCTCGTGCTCTTCGTGCCGAAATGGCGAATACAACACTGGCTGAAAGAGACCGAAGTGTATAGCTACATACTTAGAAGCCTGCCGGGGTAGAGCTACTTTGCGGCACGAGTGTGTAGTATCTGTTGGCGAGGGCACATGAAGAGGCGCATAAAGCGGTATATAACAAAACCCTGCCTAAGCTATGATCCACGCGTTGTAGCAAAAAATTGTCGCATGGTTTGTTTGCGCAGATGAGCAGAAGATCATCTTGGCTCTGCGTCTTGATAGAACACCTTCACCGCCATGATAGCACCCGCATATGCGGCTTCCATGTCGGTAAATCCATGTGATCTGTGAGAGATGAGTAGCGTTGCATCTAGATATACC